AATAGAGAGGCATATTGTACCCTTAAAATCGAATTCCGTGGAAAAAAGATTTATAGTTTAACTAAAATCATAAAAGTCACAAGATATTGTGACCATTTTTATCGTCACGCGATTTTTGTAAAAATACATTTAAAAAAGTTTATATAACTATCTAATTTAAAAGTGTCATTAAGAACACATTTGATATTTATTTTACATGATAACCCAAATAACATAGGTATTAAAATTTATGTATATATTTCCGACCTCATTTATTTCAGCTAATAAATATCCTAGAAAGACACATGCCCAATATTTTATTTAAATGAAAGGGAACAAAACATTTATTTAACAAATATAATTTATTATGTACCAGCCAAAGATAATATTATCTTTGGTCCCAGCCACTATACTGTTTTTGTATCATTGTCATTTGCAAATAATAGTATTTGTCTTCATTTATTGTCAACACACTCCTATATACAGCAAAGCCTATACAGTGCGGACGTTAAAAGTCCCCCCCTGTTATCTTTTGAACGAAAAATGGTATCGACATCGGACAAAAACCATTGTCAAGGACATTAAGAATACTACTTTTTGACGTCAAATTGATAGGTGCCCATTTAAGAAGCGCCAAGAGGGCAGTATCAACTTAAAAATTTCAAAGGGAAAGGGGGGCTTGTGATACCTCATTTGAAAGGTATTTCGATTCTCTATTCGATGCTATTTAAATTTTTAAAATCCGTTTAACGGTTGCTAAGTAATTGAGCATTTCAGTTTTTCAAACCAATACATTTTCTTGCTGCCCTATAGGCAGCTACATACGTTGCCTGTTCGGTAAATCCGGCCCTGGCGGTGCGAATTATCGTAAATCTGTATCAACATTTTTTTTTGACACTTTTTTGTTTTTGTTTTGTAAAAAAAAACGTACCATTGTAGTTATAAGGCGGTTTATAAAATAATTCTACTCTTTAGTGTAACACTATTTATCAGTTGTGCCTGCAATTTTACTTATTATTTCATTGGAAAATGGTTCGCGCTCACCCGTTGGAAGAAAAAACAGAAGCAATTTTTATTTATGCTGAAGTTGGACGTAATTTTCACCAAGCAGAGAGGGTATTTAATAAAAGGTACCCAGACAACCCTATTTGCAGAAAATATCTGCGGGAGTTGGTGACTAAATTTCAAACAACTGGAAGTTTGAGTAGGCATGCCATCCTTTCTGCAGAAAGGATCGGGTAGAAAATCAATCTCAGAAGACAAACAAATAAAAATAGTCGGTTCCGTCGTCAATAATCCACAACAATCGACGGCGGCACTTGCAGGGGATTGTGATGTAGCAATATCAACTGTCAAAAAATCCAAATAGGGGGATTGGTAGGCGTGGTCCTACCGAATGGACGGCTCGGTCTCCTGATTTAACGCCACTAGATTTTTTTTTGTGGGGTTATTTAAAATCAAAGGTCTACATCACCGAACCAGAATCAATTGATGACCTAAAACAACGTATTAGACATAAATGTGCGAATATTACCCAAGAAACGTTTACAAATGTGAGAACTGAAATTAGAAACAGACTATTATTGTGTCAAAATGTCCAAGGGGAGCATTTCGAACATCTAATTTGATGATTTATTGTACTTAATGAATGAAAACCTTGTACTTAATAATAAAATTTGATTTGAGACTTAGTTTAATATCTCAGCAACCGTTAAACGGATTTTAAAAATTTAAATAGCATCGAATAGAGAATTGAAATACCTTTTAAATGAGGTATCACAAGCCCCCCTTTACCTTTGAAATTTTTAAGTTGATACTTCCCTCTTGGCGATCCTTAAATGGGTACCTATCAATTTGACGTCAAAAAGTAGTATTCTTAATGTCCTTGACAATGGTTTTTGTCCGATGTCGGAGGGGGGGACGTTTAACGTCCGCACTGTATATGGACCAGGGGCCAACTCTACCAACTTTTGATGTCTTGCTCAAATCTACTACTTTTTAAATTTTTAAATTAAATTTCCGTGAAAGTGGTAATAATGGGTTGTGTTTTTTAAAACTTTTTCATCTTTATACATTGATAAATATTGCACTTAAATGTTCAGCGCCTGCGCAGTTTAATACAAATGACCATTTGCTTCTATTGGCAATTTCCGTACTGGAAAAAACAATAGATTACCTAATGGTCTGAATTGGTTTTTGTAAGAAGTTACAAGTTCAGGAAATTCCCAATTGGAATTCAATTGGTAAATACCACTTCAATGTTCAGAACCTGCGAAGTTCAATACACAGATTATAAAGGTTCAATACAAATGACCACTGGTTTCTATTGGCAATTTCCGTACTGTAGATAGAGAATAGAATAGGAAATGGTCTGAATTGGTTTTTATCAAAAGTTACAAGTACAATAAATTCCCAATTGAACTCCAATTGGTATATGCCAGTTCAATGTTCAATCAGTGAAATTGTGGAAATTGTGTAGGGTATTCCCAATAGAGCAATTTTAAATTAAATTTATGTTCAAGATATCTGTTAAAAACATAGAGTAAGAGTTGTTACTCTAAGGTTAAAAACTACCCACCGATAATAATGAAAAAAACGATTCCCAATCCGGAACGTACCAAACCGTTCCGTTCCTAAAAAAATCACGTAACAAAATCACGTGATTTCGGAAGTTCCGAATCGGAACGTAGGGTAAATTATTTCACAATACATGCGAGTGGAATCCACAACACGACGTTGCTGGGCTACATTTTGTCTGGCGCGCCTCTCAGTAGAGGTGACGATAATATCGATATTTTATCGATACTATCGATTATTTGCTTTTTTAAATACTATCTAAACTATCGATATCGACTTCGATAATAACGATACTGAATCAGTAATCAGTATTACTGATTACTGACGGCCAATGTTGCCAGGTCTACTAATTTTAATCAATTGACAGTCTAAAATTTAGTAAAAATTTGAGCTGGCAACACTGTTAACAATGTTGACAGCCTGTATTATAGATCCCATAGTACAAAAACCGTGATAAATTGTTGTTTGTATCATGGTGATAAATCATAAACTAGAAATATTATATTTGTCGGCTTTTTCAACCATTCGAATGCAAAAATTGATAGGGAATTTTATTAGGAATGTTTTAATGCATACATCTCAGTTTTTATCAAAAACGGATATAAGGGGTTTTGATCCCAGAGGATTCAAGTATACTATTTAAGTACATAGTTATTTATTGAAGTTAATAATTTGATTTCGTTTTTTTTGTTATTTGTTTATGTTGTTTGTAAGGTTTATGCAGCATTATGCGGCTTTTTTAAATAAAAAAAATAAATATTTAGATTTTTTTAAACTATCGATAATTTATCGATAGTTTTGATAATTACGACCATGATTATCGAAACTATCGATATTTTTTTTTCATCACTATCGTCACCTCTACCTCTCAGTTCTGTTGACCGCACCATTAATGTAGCATTTTAAAAATAATAAATTATAATACTTAATAATTAAGGCCATGGTCAACTGTTGACGTAAAACGGTACTAACGAAAACAATTGCAGTTAACTGTTATCTATTTTTAATGATTTTGAGATTGTAATAATTATAAAACCCCTCTGATGTTGTTGTTTTGATGTGTTGCGGGCCAAACATTAATTGCCGAGAATCATTGACGGTGCTACCAAATTTGTTTTCGTTCAAAATATTTCTGTATTCCAAATTATTTGTTTCGTTTCCCGTCTCAACTTTTATTGAGTTTTGATTCCTGGAAGATTTATTGGAGGGCTGTTAAATGGTTAATCCGGTTAAAAATGAATATTTAGGTTAAATAAATTAATTTTGTTGTAAAGCGCCATCTTATGTTTTCCGATCGAAGTACGTTCTAGAAGATTCGAGAGTTAACTTTTTCCCCCGCCTTCTTCCGGCTACCAAAAATCTTATGTTCTGTCACAGAACATAAGATTTTTGGTAGCCAGAACTTCTGTGTTGTGACATCTATTGAAAATAAATAAAATATATCTAAATATAAAAGTAGGAGACTGCTAGCGACATCTATCGGTGTAAACACCAACTTAAACAAAAAGTAGAAATCTGTACTATATCGTATCATTATTTCTTTAAGTTATTTAAAATTTATTGAACACAATAAATGGCCTTTAAAAACTTAAACATATTAACCAACAATCGCGTTAGACAAATTGACAAACATTAATTTTCTTAAAAACCGTTATAACTTATAACCAGTTTTAATTTCTTGTGTTGGTCACAAAAGTGTCCGAAGAAGACGCTGTTGCGCAACTGACAACTCGTTCACTTTAACATTTGTCAGTATGAAAAAAAATAACAGATACATTCCAATTTTAAGTTAAACAAACCCTTAATTATCAGTTAATCAACGGTGTACAAGTTTTGATGTGCTTAATCTGCAGCAAAATGAATTTGTGTCAACAGAATCAGCTGGGTGCCATTTTGTTTATCAAGTGAATAAAAACATGGAAATCGACTTTTATTGGAAAATCTAACGAATATCTCCTATGTTAACGTAGAAGATATTTTAGAAAAAGTAATCCAGTAAGTATTTACCCAGTAAGCAAGTTAACTAGGCCCACAAAACAAAAATACCGATTTGACAATTAGAAAATACCTTTTGTTTTGGCGCCAACTTTGATTTGATTAAGTTAACTCTGGGTTTACAAATTAAAAATAACAATTTGACAATTTGATATTACTTGTGTTTTGGTGCCTACTTTAATTTGTTTTACAAAACTTCTTTGTAAGCTTTATTTTAGCCGAGTCAGTGAAGCTGATAACTTATTTTTTATATAAATTTAAAATGTATGTGCTCCTATAGGAACATTTAAGTATACTTAAATGTTTCTGATTTTATAAATAACACATTATATCGCACATTTCATAAAATAATATAACAATAGCAGCAGGTTCTAAGAATAAGTCATAACCTTTATTGACAGTCATAAAACCTTTGACTCAATAATAAAACCTTTTAAGATGAAACAAAAATGGCTGGAAATGAAGGTACAAGCGCAGAATTGTTTCCTGGCTGGTCTTCAGTGGTCCACCAACCATGTGAAGAACCCGAGGAATCGGAATTACCTAGTACAGTGGACATGGCTGCCTTTAGCTCTGAATTAAATGTACCGCCTGCAAATGCATCACAAATCAATGCCAAAAGTGATTCTGATAGCGACTCAGAAGCAGATTCAAGTGTAAGTAACTAACCTTTAAACTCAATCGGCCATACTCTATAATTTTAGTGTTTCAGTAATTGTGAATTGTTTTACATGTCTTCAAAAAGTTTAATTTGATGTTTTTTAGAACTCTGGAAGTGAAGCTTCTCAGTCTTGCAGCCAATCAGACTCGTCTGATTCAGATAGTTCAACGTCTAGCCAGGAATCATCGTCAAGAAGCCCATCTCCAGAATTTTCAGTGACAAGTTCACAAACAAATGGGTTACGATTAACCATAGCTACAGTTCGTAAACCTGGCAGTCCCTCTAGTGAAAAAGTGATGGAGAAGTCTTGCAAAAGTGCCAGTTCCAGTTCGGGTAGTCCAGCTTCAAGCGATTCGGACAGTGACTCTGACACGTCAAAAAGTGATTTACCAGTGACTAAAAGTGTTGTTAAAAATGTGAAAGATAATCAAAAGAAACCTGTTAGTAAAGTACGAACGAAAGTTGTTGACAAGAAAGATGAGAAGAAGGTTGGAAAGAAGGAATCATCATCTTCACCTGTCAAAGGGGCCACTACCAGGGGAAAGGCCAAGAAAAGAACCAAAAAGGTAAGATAACAAAAATTAAAATGTCAAAAACACATTTAAGAAAGAATTTTAGCATTTTATATCTTTAAAAATTTCAAGATATACTAGGTAGGTAGTTAATATCATTACCTGACACATTTTAGAATGTTAACAACGGTCTCTAGTGTAACATAACTAAATATATTATACACTTGAGTGCAAAATAATCGACTCACACAAATTTTCGATGAATTTAAATAGCAAATAACTTTTTTATTTGATGTCGGATTTAATCGAATATTAAAGAATATTCTAGATAAATTAATGGACAATCGCTCACATTAAAAAAAAATACTAAAAAATAGACGTACGTTTATAATATACAGGTTTAAACAAAAAGGTGTTTTTTACCACAAGTTTAAGACACTCTGTAGAGTGGCAAAACCGTATATTGTTCTAAATTAAGTTTTATTTATCAAGTCACATCTATTCTTAACAGTTTTGTTTTTGGTTCACCTCGATATATTTATTTTTGTGGAAAATATGGATTTTTTTAAAAAACATTGCAATTTCCAATATTTTTCCTGTATGAAGAACTAAGGTTGCTATGGTCCATCCATAGCCTATGGAAATGACAGTGACAGTTTTGTTGAATCATCCCATACTTGGACATGTCATATACAGCTTTCAAAAGCTATCAAATTGTTTTTTGTTAATTAATGTGTTAATTTTGAGGTGTCTTCTTACTTTTAAAAATGTCTCCGACTGATGTTGCCCTTTGTACTTTACTTCTTATGACGTTTAAAACACTTGCCACGTAATACTGTGACCGTCCATCCTGGATTAAATTAATGGCTCTGGCAACATCAGTCGGAGACATATCCATTTTTGAAAGTAAGAAAACACCTCAAAATTTAAACATTAATTTGCAAAAAACAATTTGTTAGCTTTTGAAAGCCGTGTATGACATGTCCAAGTATGGGATGATTCAACAAAACTGTCACTGTCATTCTCCATAGCCTATGGATGGACCATAGCAACCTTAGTTCTTCATACAGAAAAATATTGGAAATTGCAATGTTTTTTAAAAAAATCCATATTTTCCACAAAAATAAATATATCGAGGTGAACCAAAAACAAAACTGTTAAGAATAGATGTGACTTGATAAATAAAACTTAATTTAGAACAATATACGGTTTTGCCACTCTACAGAGTGTCTTAAACTTGTGGTAAAAAACACCTTTTTGTTTAAACCTGTATATTATAAACGTACGTCTATTTTTTAGTATTTTTTTTTAAATGTGAGCGATTGTCCATTAATTTATCTACAATATTCTTTAATATTCGATTAAATCCGACATCAAATAAAAAAGTTATTTGCGATTTAAATTCATCGAAAATTTGTGTGAGTCGATTATTTTGCACTCAAGTGTATATAATATTTCTTTAAAATTGTATTCTAAAATTATTTTACTTACAAAATTACATTTCAGAATGTTATTTACATACATATTTCCGAGGGTATTTAAAAATAAGCAATATTATTGTTGCTTTTAATTTATTTTAATATTAATAACTGATAGCATTGCCTATAATAAAACTTTAAAGTGCTTGTAAATCATTTAAAAAATAATTTTATAGTTATTTATGCCAGCCATATGCTTTGAAAAGCATTAAAGGGCAGGAATAAAATAATAATGTGTTGGAATATTCAATGAAATGTAAATAGGCGGTATATTAAATGCAAAATTATCGTCATTGGCATTTATTATTTTTCACTTCAACAGATGGAATTCAATAATCGACGAATTAAAGAATTTCTTTATGTATTTGTGTGTGGCTAAAGAATTTATTCAATAAATAAATTGTATTTAATATGCAAGACATACCATGTATTTCAAGGTTGAAGTTGTTAAAATATTTTTTCTTGAATGGCAAATTTGAGTTGTTTTTTTTATCAAATAATATTACCAGTACCTAAACAAGAACAAGTTTTTTCTACATTTTTTGACAATTTAATAATAACATTGATGGATTTATGGGGTACATGGCTCAAATCCTCTCTGGGGTATTTATGGTAGTGTAATTCACGAGGTAATTCATATTTAGGTATGGATTATAAATTTATTTTACAAATTTACGATGCATACAATTTTTAACCTTTTATTGATTCAAATTATTTGGATGCATTCAGTAATTTTGAAAGGATATTTTTAGTGCAATATTAATTAAAGTATATTAGTTTATTACGCACATTATTAACTGTTGCTTGGAAATAGATATTTCCCGGATCAATGGAAATTATTCTTCCCAAAAATAGCATAGGTACCTACTGCATATTCAAATTTAAAAACAAATATTATTTACAATTCAATATTATTTCTAAATACCAATTAATAGAGCGATGCTACCATTTCTCTTCTGCTTAACATTTTAAAAACAATAATAATATTTAACAGGAAGAACGCAAAAGAAAGTGATAAAGGAAATTTACTCTAATACCTACATGTGCTATATCTTCTGCACCATGGTGTACCTTAAGGATCCATCCTAGGGCCTTTATTATTTTTAATATGTTCTACCGACATATTTTTAAAAGGTGTTCCCTCGGGTGTTCCATAAGAGGTTCATTACATTAGTCGCATTTATCTGATTTTTTTAAAATTTTGTTGGTTGGTTCCTTGTTGCATAGCACCATTTAATTAAGGCTTGTAATAAGTTAATTAGTGATCTCATTAGCATCTCGGCCATTCCAAGCCCATGGACAGGACACATTAGAAACATGTCTAAATATATTCTTGTTACTTCCTTAAGTTTACTTATTTTTTCTACGAGTATTTATGAGAAGTATTACCCAAATTTGGCTAATACTTCTCATAAATACTGGTAGAAAAAATAAGTAAACTTAAGGAAGTAATAAGAATATATTTAGGCATGTTTCTGATGTGTCCTGTCCATGGGCTTGGAATGGCCGATCTCTAGATATTTAAGTGACAATAATTTTAAACTTAACTCAGTTTTTCATCTTAAAACGTTAAACACTGTCGTCGACAGTCTCCGTTAAACACCTCGACTGTCTTATACAGTTTAAAAACTGTATACCTATTCTCATACAATGAGAAACCTTTTACAATTGAAATTAGGATTTTTACTGAATTTTTATTTCGGCATGAGCAATTCCCGTGTTACATCGATTAAAACGATATTGCTTTTTTGGATAAACATTATTTGTAAATATGTAAACATCCAAGTTGGTATGTATGAATGTACATTTGGGTATTTTGTTTGTTTTTAAAAATTGTAGTAAAATTTAAAATTATAAAATAATTAAATAATTGTTGCCTTCTGAATTAACAGTTTTAGCCTCAACTGTTTTAATCGTGGTCAATTTTTAATGCCTAGGTAATTTTAAAAAAAAAAACAGAAAATTTCATTTCATTTTGCCGCACCATATCAGTCGTATGGTTGATTCGCCTGCAGGGAGCCTGGTTGATAGCACACATGACCATATAACTAAATAGTTACCGCGATTAGAGCGCCGTCACTTCTCTCTGAGCACGGTGGCGATCTCCTCTCCTATTTTTGTTTCTGTGTAATATGCGGTAAATACACAGTGTGTATTTACCCGCGCCTCGTGTATCAACACACGCAGAAACCCAAACAACAAGCCGACTATTCATTCACATATCGCGCGTCGACCGGAGCGCGCTCCTGGTTGTTGATATTATTAGGCGGCCGCGGACACGCGACTTTTGTTAAATTTCATTTTTTTTATCAGTTAGTTACCGTTCGGCATTGTGTTTATTGGTCGGGTCGCGCGGGTGGCTGTCACTGCTAGCGGGTTTTGTTTTGTTGTTTGTGTCGTTCGAAATATGGTGCGACACGTGGAGTATCTCGCCACCTCGGATAATGGGGATTTGGCCGAAGGGGTTTGGGAGTATGTTAATAATTTAGTGAAAAATTACAGGACGAGGGAGACGCAGCAAAATGAGCATTATCAGGTGATTAATAAGATTATTAATAATAAAATTAGAAAACGACTTTTCATCAAAGAATGTAATGGGTGTTTTAAATAATATTTAGGAAGGTGTCCAAATTAAAATTAGTTTATTGCAAATTTGGCATTTTACATATTTGCTCTTTTTAGAAAAAAAATACAAACAAAATGTCCAAATAATCATGTGATCACAAAATGGACAAAATAAGGGCTAGTAAATTCTATATTAATTTTAGTTAACATCTGACTCATACATAGGTTAATAATTTTTTAAATTACAAATAGGGAAGCACCAGTACATGGCACTGGACGAATTACTCAATTAGATTTGGTTACTAATAAGGCGCACTAACATGAGTGTATTGTTGTTTTAACTTTATCTACCTGGGCAAGACACATTATAAATTGTGTTGTTTTCTTTATGTATCAAAATTGTGAAGAAGAATTTTCGGATTTTTATTTTTATATTAATACATCTTTCTTAAAATCGCTTGTCGTATGATACACATAAATATTTGAATGACGTATTTTAAGTATAAAAAATACTAAAAAAGATCCCGACAAACATACGCATTTTTTGAGACTTTCTGTATACCTACCTAGTTTCGTTTAGGTATTCAAAAATTTGTATTAAAATATAAGGCGTGTATTAAGTAATTTTATCTACTCCTACATTGAAGGTGTTTTAGTCACGGGCTGAAGTTAACAACAGTGGCTTTTGGGCATTTTAGTCACGGGCTGAAGTTAGCGTTATTATAAATTGCAAAAAAGTGAGGTTAAATTTGTCAAATGTCAAATATTTATAAATTAAAATTGGCTTTAAATTCTCATTTCTGTTCGTCGTAGATAAAGTATAGTATGCAACTCGTTTTATATACATCTCTAGGCACTCGTTTTTATTAAACACTCGCTCGCAAGCTTCGCTCGTGCCTAATAAAACTCGTACATAAAATGGCGTTTATAAAACTTGATACATAATATACTATTATCTACTCCTACATTGACGAACTGTGACTTTATGGCGTTTTAGTCACAGGCTGAAGTTAGCAACAGCGGCTTTTGGGCATTTTAGTCACGGGCTGAAGTTGTCTTTATTATAAATTAGAAAAAAGTGAGGTTAAATTCGTTGAAAGTTGACAGTCAAATGTTTAATAAATAAAATTGGCTTTAAATTTTTCTTTGTGTTCGTCGTAGTTAATGTTAATTCACAGTGTAAAGTTAAAATTGAGAAAAAAGTGAGGTTGAAGCGACTGTGTCAAATGTCAGAAAAAATGTCAAATAAAATTGTATTTAAATACAGAAAAAACATTACCTAATTTGTGTTCGGGTACCTAAAATATTTTTTCAAGAATTTAATTAAAATATTTTTTTTAAATTTTGAAACATCATTTTTAGGTGAGGTTTATAATAATTTGACGTGAACAAGACTTGTATTGGTATTAATCTTTCTACAGGGTGTTTTAAAAAACGTGTCGAAAAATGAAGGGTGCAGTTGCTTGGCTAATTCCTAGGCTAATTCTAAGAAAAAAGTTATCATTAACATTTTATTATTATTTTATTTTTGTTTTTTGACGATATCTCAGGAATCATTTGAAATACAAAAATATTACTAGGTAATTTATTATTATTAGTTTAAATAATATTTTTTTTATTTAAAAGCATAAATCAAATAAATAGGTACAATAACCCAGGAATTAATTTTATAAATATTGTCAGGCAAATTAAATTAAAAAAAAGATTCAAGGTTATGTATTGTTAAAAAATGGAACATTATGTAATGTAATAATGGTAATATGTACTATTATAATCTTTGAGTTTTAAAAACAATATTAATGTTGATTAAATAGTTTTTTTCTTTGAGAGTATAAAAATATACATAGCTTGCAGTGAAAAGGTTCAAATTTTAACTCTTTTGCTCTGAACATAGTTAATGAGTAATAGTTAGTACATTTGCGTTTGGTATAAACATAGTTAATGGCTAAATGAGTTAAACAAAGAAAGGTCTAATAGAAAATCGAAAGTGCGTGTAACCCCTAGCCCCTGGCTTTTCAAAAAAAAATTCTGAAAAATCGTGAGAAACTGTACGTTTGCCATTAAATATTGCATACACTTCTTCTCAATTTTCCTTTGATGATATGATATTTCACGTCGAATTCAAAGTATGTGGGTCTTGTGGGGGGGCCGCATCACATCATTCCCAGACAATCGTACCAACCGCTGAAGAAGAAGAAAGAACGCGGGAGCGCTGAAACGGCAGTACTTCCAAGGTCAATGTTACGCGGGTATTTATCATTATCTCGCATTTAATATTGGTTATGCGTGCCTTGTTTCGCCAAGCCGAACGACTGGGACTTACGAGACCAGCCAATAGAAACGATTTACTTAGTTTTTGCGAAACCGAGACAACACCAAGGTCAGGGTGTTGAAAAGTTTATATTATTTAATTTAATTTATATTTTTAATCAGATATTTTTGTAGTAAGAAAGGAGATGGTATTTAAAGGGTACTGAAGGGCTGAGTTATCTCAAATTTATAATCTAAATTTAAAAAAATATTTTGAATAATTCGTTTTTCCTAAATTTTGGTTTAATAAAATGATTTCAAAATTTTCCCTAAAAAAATGTTAAATTTTTTTTAATACCTACATCATAAACATTTCTTTTGTAAACTTTTCAATTTTAGAATTTTAAAATATTAAAAGCATAATGGGTATTTGAATATTAAAAGTACAAAAAAACATTATAATTATCTACGCTGTTATTTTCTATTTCATTCTTTTAACATAACACTTTATGACAATTGTTGCAAAATAATAATAATAATTATATTAAATTACAAAAATAATGTTCGTTCTTCAAAGTAGAGTTTAAATTTACATTATTAAAACTTCTACTACTCCCACCTTTAAAACGCCCTTTATCGTACATGTTTCCATTATACTAAGTGACCTTTTAAATACACATTGACAAGTTGTGGCTTTATGGCGCTTTAGTCACAGGCTGAAGTTAGCAACATGTTTTTAGTCACGGGCTGAAGTTAGTTTTAAGTTAGTTGACAGTTGTCAAATGCCATACAATCGTTAAAATAGAGTGCCTTTCTTGTAAAATAATACTAAATGTGAAAATAATTTTATTATTGTAATATATTGTTATACTTATTATTGTTTAAATTAAGCACGCATTTTTTGTATATATTTTTTATTACACTGTAACGGTCGACACAACGCAAGTCAGTCGGTAATAAACCATCACCAAGAACACTGAGTTTTAATTAGTAAAGATATTACAATGGCGACGACGGAAAATAATTTAATTGGTTCAACCATCAATCATCTGATTTTTCGGTTTTTAAAGTGAAAATTGAACAGTTTTTCCTCGCGAATGGTATTAAAGAGGATCAGAGGAAACGAGCCATATTGCTGAATTCCATGACTGACGATACCTTCATTTTATTAAGAAATTTGTGTGTTCCCGATGCTCCAGAAAAAATGACTTCGGAAAAATTAATGGAAAGTTTATCCAAGCATTGTACTCCCGTAGAGTCCTACTTCACGGTTAGATTGAAGTTTTATGGAGCTAAGAGAGGAGATGAAGAAAACGTGGCCGATTGGGCTGCTAGGGTTCGTAGTTTAGCGTCTGGGTGCAAATTTGGGGACGAATTCAAGATAGTGTCACGAGATATCTTTGTTGCTGGTATTGGGTCTGGTCCCATAATGGATAGACTTATGGAGGAAAATGCAACCTCCGATAAAGCCACGTGGGAGCACATGCTTAAATTAGCTCTTAGTAAAGAAGCCGTGCTGAAGGAGAAAAAGAAAACATTGGAAACTTCATCATCTGAAGTGTTGAAAATGTCTGGATCAAGGTATTCCCGGAGTTCCATTTTTGTATATATTTTTTATTACACTGTAACGGTCGACACAACGCAAGTCAGTCGGTAATAAACCATCACCAAGAACACTGAGTTTTAATTAGTAAAGATATTACAATTATTCAATACAAAAATACAAAAATATTAAATAGTTTTTCAACGCCAATATTTGAAAAGTTTATATGAACATAGTACTGACCTTTTAATTTCGCCGGCAGTAAATTATAACTTAAATTCGGACAGGGACTCCACTGTAAAGTGCTCATAAAACATTATCTTTACTTTCACTGTGAAACTGTCAATTTTCAAGAAATAAATTTCGATTTATAAAGCTTCGTACAGACCTGAACATTGAGCCGAACAACAAGCAGAACAACGAACCGAACGGCAAACAGAACGGCAAATGGCGTTTTTTGATTTCGACGATCCGAACAACAAACGGAACGTTCGTGCTGTTCCCATAATTGCTCGTAGTAAATCTCAGTAAAAGTTTTACTAAAGATGGAAAAAAGTGTAGCAGCAGCAGCTTATATATATATTCATTATTCATTATTAAATCAAAAGAAAAAATGGTGTGGGTGTTTTGGTTTCCACAACAACTCTTTTTTTTGATAATTATAAATATATATATAAAGATCCAGAGATTTTTCTTCTGTCCACTCCATTTACTTGTGTTGAATTTTAATTATATTAAAATAAACAAACTTACTTAAAGGAGGAGACAAATAAACACTTAAATGAGAACAATTCACTGGTCTGTTCGCCGTAGAGGTGTGTAGTTCGCGAACGAACTAGTTCAAAAGATCGAATTTCGTAACTGAACTAAAAGATTCAATCACCAAAACTAAAAAGAGCGAATCAATTCGAACTAAACTAAAAATCCGTAGATAAATTTCATTGTATCCGTATTTACTAATGGATTTTTTTTCACGCAAATTCGTTCCTAAAATAGGCAACCAAATCAACCAATTAATGGTCTTGGCAACAGCGTACCATTTTGACCAGCAGCAAGTGCAATTCCAAGAACTCTTCTTTGGTGCAAATCAATCAATCAATCTCAATATAGTTCACTTGAACTACTAGAGAAGTGTAGTTCGCGAACGAAACTACGTAAATCCGATTATAAATCAGTGAACTAAACGAACTAGTCTTTTGTACTATTCACTTTAATGAACGAGATCGAAAGATCGAAATCAGAAAAGTGAACTAAACTTCCCACCTCTAGTTCGCCGTTTTGTTTTGACCCGTCCAAACCTCCGAACGCATTCGCGAGCATTTCCTTTGATGTCGAAGGAAAAACCGACAAGTGATGGGAACGGGACGAACCGTTCGCCGAACGGTCAGGATTCGCGAACATGTTCGCAAACGCGTTCGCAGCCCCGTCCAAATTAGTGTTCTGTTTGCCGTTCGGTTCGTTGTTCGGCTTGTTGTTCGGCTCAATGCTCAAGTCTGTACGAGGCTTAACCTTCCCCTATTGTTTCATAGATGGCGCTCTATACAAAGTTTTGATTTAAATCATTTTAAGATAATAATAAGTATTTGTCGTAGAAAAAATATAGTATGCACCTCGTTTATAAACTTTTCTGTACACTCATTAATTTAAGCACTCGCTCGCAAGCTCGTTCGTGCCTAAATTAAATTCGTGTATAAAATGGCGTTTATCAAACTTGATACATAATATACTATTTTAGTTATGTTTTAAAAACCTGACATGGTAATATTGCACATCCAAAAATGGTTGCCATAAAATCAATTCAAATAAAGCAGTTAAGGTTGTAACATTGTAACTAAATATTTTACAAAATATAATTATTTAGTAAAGTTATTTATTATTGCAGGTTGTAAAAGTTTTAGAGCAAAAATGAGTTTTAAAGACCGAAAAATCGCTTTTTATGTGGACTACCCCTTTAAAATTTGTAATAAATTATGATGAATTGTGTTTCCGTAAAGTTGGGGTTAATTCAAAACTTCGCTAATGGACATATCGTATCTCTTGATAAACTAAAAAGCCCTTTCAAAGTCGGAATAAAATTAACACGCAGATCCCGGTGAGTCATTATTATTATTAAAAAAAGGTTTCCACGTGTGTAAATCACGATCCGTTCCCTGCCTGTCGCCGGGTGGTAACTTAAGAATGACGCATTATTCAAAACACAAAAAAAAATAAGCCACGTGCCAAGTGTGTTCAATAGAAATTTGTCTTTGCATTAGATATAGCATAAGAAGTTAATCAATTGTTTGATTTTATAATACCTTTTTACTTTCAGTTCATATCATAATGCACAAAAATACACCTCGAGAAAAAAAAAATTAAACAAAGCAGTGAAATACGAATTAATTCTAAATTAAATATTTTAGGATCAAAATAAAGCCTTTAAAAATTTATATTTTGAGAAACTTTTTTCTAATTTTTTTTATTTTTCGTATTTAAAAATTTACCGTAAACTAAAAAAAGTTCAAATTTTTACTATTTTTGAAATTTTCAAAATGTTTAACCGAACTGATTTTTGTAGAAAGCTCTTTAAACAAATCCTGTATACTAACATATTTTTATAGAAGATTAAAAAAATAGTCTTTTTTTGGCCAGTCTACTATGCATTGTCTATTAGATATTTGGAAATATAATATATTATGTTTGGTTTTAACGAGAAAAATATAACATTATTAAATAAATTTTATAATAATTATTTAATTATAAATCTGGCAACATTGTAAACTGCAGTTCTGTCAATGACAATTTCATTCAAATTTTACACTATAATGTATAAACGCCCTGTATATGTTTATAGCATAAACATACAGGGGTTTTCTACACAAAATGGATTACTTTTTTTTTAAACAAATATTTTTTTATTTAAACTTTTTTAGCCGGCTGAACCGGCTAAATTGTACATGTACAGTGTACATTGTACACAGCCCTAGTAAAAATATTTAACACAAAAATTGTAGATATTTGATATTTCCAAATAACTTTATTTTTTTTAAATACGATTTCAATAATATAATAAAATGTTTATTTGAAAAAAGTGTCTTGATGAGATCTACAACCTCTTGTTTTTACATAAACCTCTTCAAATATTTAATATTTTTGATAAAAAAATTGTAGATAGAAACAATTAAAAAAAAAACGGCGATAAAAAGATTTATGTAAAAACAAAAATAGGTCGATAATGTAAAAACAAAAGTAGGTAGGTCAATAATGTAAAAACAAAAGTTTAAATAAAAAAATATTTGTTTAAAAAAGGTTTATATAAAAACAAGAAAGGTCGATAATTTAAAAACAAAACACGAAAAATATACGTATATTTCAAAAAGTGTTAGTCTTGATAAAAACTACAACCTCTATTACGTTGTCCATTTTTAATATACAGAAAATCATTTTTTAACTTTATTAATAAATCATATTTAAATCCACCCCGTATAACATAATTAAGCCAGTCTCTATCCGTCTGGTGGTCTGACCTAGACCCCAAATGCTTCATTTTTTATTTATAAAATTACCGCCGCAGCAGTCGCTTTACTAAACCTTGTAATTGCTCGCGAGAAACAAAGAAACATCGCACTCCCAGACTTCCTATTTTAAAATTCGCCCTCTTCGCAATGTGAACAGTCGCGCGGAAGGTCTTCGCAATACACGACCAAATCAATTTACCTTTGTAATCGATGTGCGTGAACCTATGCCGGGTCACCTCAAGGTTCCGTACCGTGACCGTTTAGTCTCTACATTATTGTTTAGCCATCCAAATATTCAAATGTACATACAAAGAACAAAATGAATATGTATAAATATTTCTTTTAAAACTAAACTGAAGGTCAATCCAGTCTAAATTGATATTTCTCATAATAATTTGTACTTTTTGCTTATTGTAGCGTGAATTGTATGGGTTGGGGGAGTGCTCTCGGTTCTTTTCCCTAGTCGCCCAGTAACAATGCAACAATAAAAATTTAATGTATGCGTGAGATGTAAGAAGACAAGGGTTTCGTCTTATTTGAAGACCAAGTGCGTAGTTCCTTTGTACGAAGAAACAATGATTGTACGGAGATTTTTTGGGAAGGCAGATTTGTCACGGGTCATAAATAGAGCATCTGAACTCTTTTTATTATCCTTTCAATACCTAGTAGTTTCGCTGAATACGTTTCTTGGTGTTCTTAAAAATGTATAATAGTTCATGGAAATTTTTGTTGTTTTATTTATTTATTATTTTATTTTACACTATGTTATAGCTAGCAAAACAGTTATTTTGAATTGGTACAGCTATATTAATTTGTATTAATTTTTCCATTCTTCCATTCCATTATTTAATCCTTTTTCAATAACCATTTATCTTTAGTTTTTGTTTTTAGACCATACATAAAGTTCATTTTTTTTATCTGGACTGCGGCAACGTTGCAAATTTAGGGTTTTGGTTGGTAAATACAGTTGTCAAGTTGGTCGCATTGATTAAAACAAACTAATCTAGTTATAAATCTAATTGTGGTTATGTATAAATTATTGTAGGTTACATTGTGCAGTTGAGTTATCGAAATTCGTAGTTAAAAATGCAATTAATTTGGCTTTGGTGGTGCTTGGATGAGTAAAATCATATAAAAAAAGTAGTTAAATATAGGTTGCTTTACGGCCGAAAAGAGCGGATAATAATCTTCGCTTTGAAAAGAATTTATATAAAAGAATTAAAAACTTTTTGTGAACGCAAATGTTGTCCAATGGTGAATAATGTGAAAATAATGTGTGATGTAATATTTATAAAACCAAATTCGTTACTTTTTTACGATGTACTTTTTCTTCCATTGTGGCATTTGGCATAATTTCATCAAAATGAAGTTTTGCCCTCAAAAGGGCTTTTACATTCGAATTCGTTGCTATTATTTTTGGCATAATTATCTTTTTATTTATAATTGACAAGTAAATTATCAATAGTTAATATTGAATTTACTTATAAAAAGTATTTAAAATCAAAAAATGCAAAATAAAAATACTCCAGTTACTGGAGTCCAGTATTTTCTGAGATAGTATATGGCCATCTTACCTGGACCTGTACAAAGATGTGAAGTTACATCACAAAATCCCTATAAGAAAGCAGTACCTAAATATTTTTCGGTTTTTCGGATTTTAAATTATGTTTACATAACAAAGCATAGTAGTAAATATATTTATTGGAAAAACCAAAAGGCTATCGACCGAAGTCTTTCTGCCTTAACAAAGCATATTATTCTTGCTTTTAATAAAAATTAAATAAATAACCAATTTTGTAAATTTTATTTTTCCTACGCAATTTTAAATGGAAACTTATAAATATTGGCGGCACTACAAACGTTTTTTTTTTTTGAAATTTGTTGCCCTGGCAGAATTTTTTACCGAAACTAGAACACAATTTTCCTCAGATTTTAATTAAAAATAAAGGTTAACAACGTCTCACCATTTTACGAAATCAAGTAATTTAAATTTTTTATAAAGCCATATTTA